AGACGACATTGTGTGTAAGTGACTTGTTTTAATGTTTTCTCCTTCCTTGTTACTGTGACTTGCGTTTGATTTTTTATTCATACAACTCTCATTTAATTGTTTTCCAGCTGCCTGTAGGACGTATTTTGAGACGGTACTCAGGAGCTTCAGATATACGCTGCCAGCGAATACATTGCATGCGGAGACTGCTAAGCAATCTGCTCGGAGTCGGGCCAGAAGAAAGAGGGTAAGACTTTATTTGGTGACTATTTTTCAGGTGCATTGATAGATGTGTTGTGTCCATACGCAGTGCGCTGATTCATTGTTGTTTTTTTCAGCTGCTGAAAGCGAGGCAGTGTGCTAGCAGATGAGGAAGTGGAACTCTGGAAGTCCGCCACCGTCGGCCTCATGTCCGACGAAGAAGATGGCGTCGCTGGCGGTGTCTCTGGATGGATTGTACGGTCGCCGCCATTTCGTAGGCCGGATCCCTCTGAACTCTGTGTTAAGCTGCAGTCCCGGTTAGAAGCGATGCTGAAGCACAGGGCCACGCACAGTAGGCGTCTGCACATCGGACCTGCCTTGGAGGGAATGCTGCCAGTTACCTCCAACCCCGAGGAAGCAAACGGATCGTTCACGGAGTTGTAATTTTTAGATACGCATGTGTTTGGATACGCGTTGTGTATAGTTGTGTGTGTTTTAATAAAGCTCTTTCTTTGCATAAACAGCTTCCTGGCAAATGTTCATTTCCTGTATAAATTCATTCATGTCCTTGATGGTAGCCTAATAATTGTGTAGTAGTGTAGGATAACATAAATACACAGCATATGAATGAATAAATATATGAATGAATAAATATATGAATGAATAAATATATATTCATAAATATATATTCATAAATATATATATATGTAAATTTATATGTAAATATATATATATATGCCAACCAATCACGAGCGACTTTACTTGTTTAAAAAGAAGTGGTTCCGTCCAATACTCACTAAGAAAATTAAAGCCTGGCGTGGCCACGTGTGGTTTTGCTGCCAATCACGAGCGATTTCACTTGTTTGAGAATAGTGGTTTCAGCCAATACTGAGAAGGTTATTCAAGCCAGACCTGGCCAGCCGCGGGTCTACTGCATTCATATGCTAATTAGGGCCATTAGTACAGCTGATCGCTCTCCACATACGTCAGAGTCCGTTTCCGACAATTTGTGGCACGACAAACGCGGACAAGCACGGGTTGCAAATTGTCGGAAACTGACGAAAATCAGGGAGATCTGCGGGAGTTTACGGGGACGAAAATCTCACTTTTCATGCAGTGATGTATCGCTTGTTTAAGGTATGATGTACAAAGCATTATGCACCTAAACAACTGCACATATACACAACTCAAAAACAAAAGTAAAGACAGAAGGATGAGGTCTGGTCAAGGTTGTTTGATTCAGTGTTGTGGCGCTGTGTCATCTACATGTAAACATATGCAGAAGAGATAATATGTTCACATGTAATTAGTGACTCCGTACATTAAACAAAATCCTTAATTTAACTAACTCTTGAAAGAAAATGTACTTTTAGAAGTACGTTGTACATGTATCATTCTTTGTACTTACTTGAGAAAGAATATTATGGAGCGTAAACTACGTTTACTTAAGTTAATATAGTAGTTTTGTTAATATATAGTTAATATAATAGTTTTGCCTTCTCTCCCCACAGTGAGTAATTTCATTGAGTGAATAATGTTTTAAGAAAAAAAAAAAGGTAAATAGACGGTTAAAGTTAGAGTGAGTTTTCTCTCTTCCACAACAGGCTTTATTGTTGTAATGTTATTTTGAATCTGCTGAGCTCCTGACATCCCACTGCTGGAGGTCAATCTATCATATATTAACCAGTATGCAATGTCCCTGGAGGTTCTTATCTGTTCTAACATAGAAAAATTACGTACGTTTCAAAAAGCTTATGATGAAAAAAAAAACTTTTTTCTGCTTAAATATATAATCTAAAATCATGTTATTTATTTTTGTTTATGCTTTATTTCAGGATTTAAATATGGCAAGATGTAGAAAATGTATGTTAATATATATTTTAAATGCTAAATACAAAATGACTTGCTTTTAAATACAAAGTCAATTTAGTATCCTTTTTAAGAATTATTTCTTGGATGGATAATCTTTACTTCTACTTGGATAAAATACGGAAGTAGTGTTATATTGCTTGTTATCCTAGAGATTCCTCAAGCTCTGACTGGGGAAGTTCTACTCAAAGTTCAACCTCAGTGGGTGTCTAAGCGATACAGAACCACAGTCTGCTAACTGGGGGGGGGGAAAACGCAGACTGAACACAGTGAGAACCACAGACTCCAGTTGTTTATCTCACCGACAGCAAGATTACACTCCATCCATCCATCCATCCATCCATCCATCCATCCATCCATCCATCCATCCATCCATCCCACATTTAGGCTACTCATTAACTCGGAAGTTATCAAATGAATACTGATGATTGGATAACTTTGTGTTTTGAGTGTGACCCATCAGGAATGTAGAAATGCATAAAGAAGTAATTTAGCCTAAAACATCTATTCCTTGCCAACACACACTCTCTCTTAAGAGCAAATGCCCGACTTTAGCCTTTCTTTTCCTGAAAGCTGGTCCAGATCATTTCCACTACTCCCATCTCCAAACCTCAGACCACACGGCTTTAATAGGAGGCTTAAGAGGTAATTCCTATCACACTGCCATCATTTAATATCTAACCCAGGCTGACAGAGAGGAAGGTTACAAATCCAAACCAGAAAGCCACCAGCAAATCTCCTCCTCTTCTTCCTCACTCTCCTCCTCCTCCCCTTGTTCTTGCCGCAAACCCCACCCAGTATTATATTCTAAATGGCTATTATTCTGCAACATATTTTTTGTTTTTCCTTCCACTCCGAGTCTCCTTTCATTATCACTGCTTTATGAGAAATGAGAAAAGCAATGAAGAAAAAATGGCAGAGATGTAAAAAAGAAAGGCTGAAAGGTTGTCAGACAAATGAACCAGAAGAAACTTGTAATTTAAATTCTGCTGATGGCGAAATTAGGATATAAAAGACACGAGATTTATAATGTTAAGTTTGGAAGAAGTCCACCACTTTCCGTTCTCATAAATAGTCAAAGTAGTCCACGGGGATCCATATTAAAGCAGAGAAAGTCCAAACTGCAGAGAGCAGTTGTAGGCTTTATGAAGAACGATGCCAGGATGGAGATACAATAAGCCTGTCAGTCATGAAGAACAAGGGAAAGGCTGGAAAACAACAGAAGGACTGTAAAGAAAAGTGTGAGGAGTTTGATCCTGGAGGCCACAGATGACGCAAACAGTACTTTACTTTCCAACATATCTGCTCAGCTCTCTGCTGCAACGCATCAGTTATCACCACAACTAGATAGATCTCAATAAGTCCTGCCAGAACCTTCAGGATCACCAAGACAGAGACCCCTTTCCATCCACAGGGATCTGCACAAAACTCTTTATTAACTTAAAAGGTTTATTCACCTCTGCTTCAGTATCAAAAAGAGGGTAAAACTTTCCAGAGCTGCACAGCTGGGCTCAGCCAGTTTGGATTAGACCATATGGTCCAAATAATATTATCTCGATATTCTTTGGTCCATATTAATTTTAATATCCCATACTCATTTCATTTGCTTTCTTTTCAGAAAGTAATCATAAAAAGGCACCTCTGAATGAAATGTTCCACACATTTATTAAGAAACAGCTCTAGACAAATATGGAAATGGCTGGGAAATAACTAACTGGCTTAGTAAAAATTACATTTATAATGCAGCTTAGACCATCTTGTCATAAACAATATAGTCTCACCTTATAGCACTTTAAATAATCTTGATATTTGCAAAAAATTAAATATATTGCCCAACCCTGATGTCATCCATCTGCTAAATTTATGAAATCAGTTTACTAAGTAGGTTTATTCAGGTTCATATTCCTTCCTTCTTACACAGGCTGATATATCATCAGAAACTGTTACTAATTTTTGTCCCTTTAAACACATCTAAGAGTGCAGATGATATGAATGTTGATATGAAAAGATTTAAACTCTAAAAACTCATAAAGAACAGAAACACATTGTTGAGTTTTAAGCCTACATAAAATTAGCCTAGTTTCTGGTTAATTAAATTCAGTCTGGCCTTCAATTCATGCCAAGCATTCAGTAACTTGATTATTGTTTTATTTTTTGCAAAAAGTGAAAAATGTTAAAAGAAAACATAAATAGTACTTGATTTGCTATGCTGGAATTGAAATATTATATCTTCAGATTTCAAAATACTTTTATGGTTCATCTGGCTGTAATAATAGGTAAATGCACTATTTTTTGATTAATTTGTTAAAAATCTATTTTATGACAGTCATAAAACAGAAAATCATCCCTGAAGCAGCAATATTACATATGATATAAACATACGAATATAAAACAATAAACTCAGAAATGATGAAATCAATAGGCAGAGAACCGCCGTCCACCTCCAGACACACTCAGACTAAGCCTGATATAAACAGCTATTTGATTTAAAAGGTGTTTCAACCTTCAACCTCTCAGAGGCTAAAGCAGCCTGAGTGGAAAGGCAGAGAGAAAGGCAGGCCGGGTCTCTAATGGGAGTCAAAGAAGCGGAGTGTGTTTGGAAATGTGAGATGAAAAAGAAAAGAAGAGAAGAAGGACACATGGGAGGCTTTGCCACATTATTCTGACCTGCTCTTAAACCTTTAATGCTGGGAAAGCTCCAGATTCCCAACTAGAAATTCCATATCAGTCCAAACAAAACATTCACTCCAAGGACACTTTCACCTCTTCACACTGCACAGATGGACCTTCAACATCTGTTCCACCTCCTGACAGGAGCACAGAGAGCCACTGTGTCACCTGGCAGAAGACCCGAACCCTTAACCTGGAGAGAAGCGCTGACATGGCCCCGCGGCCATGTTTTCAAAAAGATTGCATAACACATGAAAAGAGAAATCCTTGACAGTACTCACACTCTACCCAGTTTGGGATTGGACTGGAAGAGAAGTTCTGGGAGGAACTGGAGTTTGTTCCTATTCAGGCGTCTGCAGGGAGATAAAAACAACACAGAGATTAGGAAGAGAAACAGGTAAAAAAAATTAAAATAACACACTTTAACCAACCAATAAGCATGCAGCTCACTGAAGCACCAGAAAGGTCAGCATGTCAAAGTGATGTGAAGCTCTGTGGTTTCCTTCTTGTCAGGCTGACTTCATCTTTCAGTGACACCTACAGGTTATCAGTGTTTTATCGCTCTAAAAACCCTCATCACATTCATACTCAGATAAACTCTGATTAAATAGTAAAAACCTCCGTCAGAATCCTCAGTCAGAAAAAATATTTCTTATAACCAATTATTCTTGCTGTTTTTTTATATTAGAAATCCCACCTCAGTTAGGAAATGAAGGAAGAACTGGATAAAAGCAAGCAAATTATAAGATATTGGAAGTAGGGTTGTCACGATACTAAACTTTTCAACTCGATACCGATACTAAGGAAAATATTCAATACTCGATACCATTTTCGATACCACAAGGATAAAAACAAAGACTCCAAAATTCCACAGAAATATTTTCATTAATAAATAAAATACAATAAATAAATACAATAAAGGTTGTCTGCTGTGCACAATATTAAGCAAGCTTGATAAAATACTTATAATATTAAAATTAAGTGTTCCTTCCTTGGCTATGCTTTGCACACATAACAATGACACTAGCCAAACCGGTTGAGAAACAAAAAATAATTCTCAGCAGCTGCACCTCTTACAAAAAAAAGGAAATGACTGCTTAGGTGCCACTGGTGGTGGCACTGTATCGATACTTTTAAAAACGAGTATTGTATCCGGATACAACTTTTCAGTATCGATACTTTTTTTTAGTATCGATACTTTTGACAACCCTAATTGGAAGAATAAAATATTTGTTTGCTTTTATAACTGATTTAATAAATCCAGACATGATGGAAATGTATAAAATGTAAAAGCAGAGCAGTTAATATCATTGGCTTCAGAAATGGATAACACTGACCTGCTCTCTGTAATAAATCATCAACAGTCCTGCCTGCATCAGGCCTCAAAACGCATCAATACAATGTTCAAGTAGAAAGGAAAAAAATTTTTGATTTAAAGTATGATCAGTGAAGAATGGGACTTGCTGCACGTGGGAGGAGCACTGTATATTCCTGGCTCTCCCATTGGGTAACTGCCAGATTCTTGAAAGTCGTTCATGCTAGTAGAAAATCCAGCAATCCTTTTTTGTCCTCCTGATCTCAACCTGCCTGATTACTGTTTTTTCTTTTTTCTTTGTGCCTTGTCTTGTCGAATACTCCTGTTTCTGATTCCTGGTCATTTTTCCGCCTTACCTCACAACCAAGTCTGTTTGCCTCTGCTTCCTTCTGGATGGTTTGGTCAATTGTGACTCAATTCTGCCTCTGTCCCTCTTTCAACCCCTGTCCAGTTACTGTTCTTCCTATTACTGATTTTGTCACCTGGAATCTGGATTTTTCTCTTGTTTAGCCCTTCTGAAAGCCATGATCTGTGCATGTCCCCCTCTACAGATCAATATTTCGAAAATTAGTGATCCAAATTCTCCAAACTGGGCCAGTGGGATCAATCATCAGAGCCAGCGCAACTTCCCACCTTCTGAGAAGGTTAATGGCTAAAGTAGTACCTGTTTCAGTCAATCTCTGTACCTGCAACACCAGTTTTTAAAAATACATTCTTAGAATGATTACGTCTTGTGTCGGCTTAAATATCAGGTCTCCAGATTTGACCTTTAGTCAAAAAACATTTCAAAAACATTTTAGCCAAAAAACATTTTTAACAGGAGTAGTAGTAGGAATGTTTCTGCTTTATTTTTTTATTTATTTATTTATTTTTTTAGCAGTGTCCTATAAAAACTGTATCATAAACAGTGTATTGTGTTAAAAAAAAAGAAAAGAAAAAAAGAACAGGTCTTCTTGGGTTTCTATTTGTGCAGAAGATAAACGAGGACAATGTGTGTTATCAGACTTTTCAAGGTTTTGGCTGAGAAATGAGGAGTGGATAGGGAAAAAGAAACCAAGGGTGGAAGGTTACAGGGTCACAGAGTAGAGTTTGTGCTGGAGAAGACACAGACACAAACCTTTAACCTCTGTAGATAGTGTGGAAAATAGATCTGAACTTTTCACTATTAAACACACCAGGAAGAGAATTTGAGGTGTAAATAGAATCTTAGGATTGTAAGCGAGGCCATGGCTTAAGAAGCGGAAACATTTCAGAGGGCAATGCATTCTCAAATCTAGATGTTTGAGTAAAAAAAAAATGTTTTCCAATTAGAGAGAAGTCCTTTCTGTTTCACAACATTTAGAAAATATCCAACAAAAAGGGTTTGATTAATTCAAGAAATGTTTTATTTGATTGAATTCGAATAAGAACAAGCATAATAGAGATAATAATATCATACAGGATGCAAAAACATAGAATCTTTTAATCAAGTGAATGTTTAAGTTAGTTTCCCTTTGGGGTCTTTTATTTATTGTATTTTGAGAATGTTTATGTATGTTTACGATTTTGTTTTAATGGCTGCTATTTTGGCCATGCCTTGTTCAGAGAAAAGGCCTTCATTTCAGTTGGACCTCCTGGTCAGATGAAGCTAAATGAACAGACAGCAAATCAGAACCATCGGAACCACCGAACACAGTTTCATCATGACACAACACATATGATGTGTTTTTTTTATTAAGCGGATGACAAACTCACCCTGTCATCTGAGCTGGTGAATAGTTAATCTCAATGTTTTTAGATTGTGACATCAGCCACTGACTCAGGACCAGACCTCTGACCTTTAACCTTCCCCTGGACAGACAAAACATTATCAAACCTCTGAACTTATTGGAGTCTCTCCCAGGTGGGAGTTAGAATTTTTTGTTGGGGGAACCCAAAGGGGGAGAGGCCAGGTCTGGGTTATCATACCTATCTATATAGCTGTATCAAACAAGATAGCAATATAGGTATGTAGTATGTTTGCTCTTTTTCCTTTATAAAAGAGACTAGAAGGAATTGTTTTTCAGCTTACAAAGGTAGCTAAGTAACTTTTACTTAAAGTAAAGTTTTGCTAAATTATCAAATCTTTCAGTCTCTTAAATAGCACAAAGTACTGTACCGGATTGATCTAGGGGGGACAATCAGATTGAGGGGGTCCAGCACCTCCTCTGCCCCACCTCTACTGTAGCTCCACCCCTGGTTTCTCCCTTCTTAAGTTTGGTTTGTAATAAAAGAGACCAGGAATTCAGACGTACTCCTCATTATCTGCCTTGACTGGTTGGGCCATGAATGTTCAGTACCAGCCAGGAGAAATGGATCAACTTTAATACAAATTTTGTGAATAGTATGTTTTATATCTCTACTTAGGAACAGGGATATTTTTTCTTTGCTTTCTCATTTTTGGTTTCTTTTGTTATAAAACATGTTTTGAGGAATCAAAATGCCTATTTAGAATTACACATTGTTAAAAGGTTCAAAACAGAAGAATTAGAAAAAAATGCTAAATTATGACAAATCGAAATCCAAGGTTTCACTGGATTTGAAAAATTGCATAAGCTCCATCGTGGCTGCGCCATGCTTTCTACCAGACACCTTATTCCCCTGGTACATTTGTTAGAGGAACTCTTCATCGTGTGACTCATATCACGTCAGGATTGCGCCATTGCGCTGTAACATCAAGCACAATTGTGCTTTAACATCAAGGTTGCTTCTAACTTTATCTTTACTCCTCTAAACAGACTTGAATTCATTTAACAGATTCTGAAACACATCTTAGTGGTAAATTGTTGAAAACGAATGAAAACCACGAGCCTCTGTTTCTGCCTCTCATGATGTAGTCCGCATTTTTAACATTACACCTGGTTAAACTACAGCTAAGATTATTGTTGCTAAATTAGTGAATTTATTTTTTATTTTTACTTTTACTCTAGTTAAACTCAATCATCACTGTGCAGCAGATGTTTTCTGTTTATTGGTGTGTCAATCTACCATCCAGCCTGCAGTCATTAACATGCAGCTGTGTGTGTTGGACACTGACACCTATGCTATGTTGAATTAAGTCTTGGTGTGAGTTTGAGGTTATAGCAACCCTGGCATATATAGACACGCAGAGATATTGGAAACAGAGCATTCTGCGATTATGTGTAAGGTGAGACAGGTTAGTTGGTGCTGATCTGGTGTGGCTGAGTCAACTTTGTCAACAGACCAGGAGCAGTTATCATTGCAAGAAGTCACACACAGAACCTTATTAAAGTTTTCTAACCTCCATTTTTAATAGGTGTAACTAACGGACCAAAACAAAGCAGAGCATACTGGCACCATTTGAGGAAAAGGACACATAGTTGTTTCTCTAATGCAATTCTGAAAAGTGTGGAGTGTATTTGCAGTCAGCCCCATTGGAGTCAAGACTGCAGAACTATTTTTTTTGCTGCTTAGTTCCCTAGCCTTTATGCTGGCTGTTCTCTAATGTTCTCTGGAGAAGATCTATAGCCAGAAACAGAACACCTGAAACATCTCATTTTGTAAAGATTTCTAAAAGAAATCTGGACTGCTCAAATCCCAGTAGTATTCATTCAGATTTATGGTTTTACTTTGAGAAGAAGAGCCAGGGGTTTGAATACTTGCTGGATCTGGGAACATTTTATCACTGGAGGCATCTCGTGTGAACACATCCTCACTGCGGAGGGTTTGTGACTTGCACCGGTTTATCTTCCACCTTTTTGTTTCATCAGAAATCAGTGTCAAAGGGAGTCACGAAACTTACAGTCTCTCCAGCAGCCTCAGGTCCTGGAAGGCTCCTCTCTCGATGACGCTGATTTGGTTGTCCTCCAGATGACTAAATGAATGGATATGAAGAGACAAACAGAGGAGAAATAATTAGTTTTAATGGTTAGAGCGGTCCTCTTTCTCTTTATTTCTGTACACAGCTGCTATGAGAATGTCCTCAAAATGGAAAAAAAATTGATGTAACCTAACCAGCTGAAAAATGTCCCTTTCTGGCTCATGTAGAGCAGCAGAGACACTTCATTGATTGAATAAATAGATAATCAACGGACAGAACAAATGAATCTGCCATGAATACTCAATGTTTACGCAAACGTTTTAATCTAGTCAGCCAAAACAAATAATTAACATCCAATTCTTTAGGGCAAATTTCCCCCATTTGTCTTCAGTCTTTCATGTGGTTCCTACACACTAACACGTCTCCCCTGGTTCTGTGTGGGATGTGGTGCTAAGGCTTTCCAGATGGGTCTGAGAGAGAACATAAAGAAGATCTCAGCAGAAACCCTGGTGGATGTGTTCAGACTTATGATGGCAAAAATGATCCCATGGGAGAGAAGGAAATGAACGAGTCAGGAGATGAGAGAAGGAAGGATTAACCGTGAAAGAAGGAATTGGAAACGAGTCAGGAGAGAAAAGGAAATGTAGAAAATGTAAAAAAAAAAAAAAATGAATCAACACAAAGGCTCAAATGACAAACAACGGTGCATGCATTCATTCCTTCTTTAGATCAGTGTTTGCCAACCTTTTTTGACTTGTGTGCATTTTGTCTTACCATGAGTACCCCTCTAAGTCTAAGTATTGATGATTGTCCAAAAGTGTAACGTATAATAACTTAGATCAAGACTATTTCCTTACTGATCTCTGTGAGAGAGAAATACAGTACAGAAGATATTTTGTCCTGGCCACCATTAGACAGTTTAATGGCTCTTGGAGGAGTTGTTTTTATTTTTATTTTTTCAATTTAGTTTTTTTTTTTTTATCTAATTTCTATATGTTTTTATCTTTACTAACTCACTAACCAACTAACTAACTAACTAACTAACTAACTAACTAACTAACTAACTAACTAACTAACTAACTAACTAACTAACTAACTATATCTATGTCTTTTTGAGCCTTTAATTTTTATAATTTTATGTTTTTTATCACAAATAAAAAAACTGCATAAATACGTTGCCTGGAAGTTAGTAAAGAAACAAAACAAATACAAAATTAGATTATTTTGTATTTATAAAACTTGAGCTCCTTTGAGTAACTGAATTGAGAACAAAATACAGAACAAAAATTATTGTCAGACTAACTTAATTAGTTTTACTTAATAGATTAAAAGCTTGTTTAATTTTTCAAGTTGGTCCTCAAAAAGCAAAACAGATCCCTTTTGTTTACAACCTAAGAAATACAATTTTTTCATGTACCCCTTGCAATGCACTCACAGACCAATAGGTGTACGCGTACCCCCGGTTGGGAATCACTGCAGAAACCATTTAACCTAACTGTTGCATTGTTGGAGGAAGCAGGATTACCGGGAGAGAAGGGTTTAAACCCAGGACCTCCTTCATCCAAGCCTGCTGGCAGCTGCTCTGTAGTGCAGCTCAGAAGTATAGACACCGATTAAAAAAATAGATCTGAAACATCCATCCATCATCCTAACCTTTGACGCTCTATTAAGGCCAGAACCTTTCCACAGCACCTCATCTGGCTACAACTTTTATTGTTTAGCATCAGCATTAGTCATTCACAGAACCGTGGAGAAATGAGCACAAACAAGTTTTGGTCTGGTGTGTTTGGAGAACGCATCTAATAAGTCAACCATACTACAGATTCCTAACAAGCATCAGACAAAACCAAAATGATGTCATGCTAGCTTCTACTGGCACCTGGATGGGGAAAAGGACAGATTTCTGGGGACGCTAACTGCTCTGTTATGGGTGAGACCACATGAATGCTGCAGCCAGCTTTTCCTTATCAAGCTCCAGTTTTTACTTACATCTAAATTTGTTTGGAATTACTCAATTTTGCCACAGTCTGGAAGAAATCTTTTAAAGTGTGACTGCCAAAGATATTACACTAAGTGTTGCATTTGCAGTGTGCATGCAGAGGCGAGCCGAGTTTGAAAGAAAATACTCCGACTGCTGGATGCAGTTACAGCGTTATCCAGTTACAGAACAGGAACTCCAATGAGATCAGATGTTGAAGTTAAATATCAATAAATCAGCCCAATTAGCGTGTTTTAATGAGGTTGACTGCAGATATAGGGGTCATTTCGGGTGTTTTTAACAGAGATCTAACTAGACGCCAGTATTTCCTTTTTTTTCTTTCCCAATCCCTGACTGAAATTAACGTTTTCTTATAGAATCCAGTCTGCGGTGCTGCATGGTAATACTGCCCACTTTAGCTTCAGAAAAGAACTAGTCGCTGGGAAACCATGTGGAAATCTGAAATAAAAGCTGCTGCTGAGCGCAGAATGTTTTGGATTACAGAGAGACTCAACGCAGTGAAGGAGTAAAATATTTTTTGAAAAACTGCAAATCTTTTCATAATGATTCGAACATGTTGCCACAATGTCAAAATGTCTCAAAGAGTTTGTATGGCATTCTGAATCTGATACCAGATGACAAAGACTGCAAAACTCCAGTCTTAAATCTAACAGTCTGGTTCAAGTCACAATCTCTTTAGGTGACAGCAGTCTAAGTCTCAGACTTAAGTCCCATTCTGTCTAAATTCTTGGTTATATACAAGATTAAGAAACAGGGTTACTTTTAGCTGTCCCGTCAGTGCCATAAGGTGTAGATAGAATTTTAACATCTAGCTATCAGCATAAGTGTCAAAGTTAATGAAGGTTGCAATGGAACTTTTATTTCAATAATTTTTTCCTCCTTTTTGGAAAACTAAAATAATAGCTTTAAAAAACAAGAATCAGAAAACTATTTTTGCAACTCATACTGAGTACATATTAAAAAATAAAGACTTTAATTCATTCGGCAAATTTCCAAGAAAATCAGAGACTTTATATAGCTATGATTCAAGTCCTGGTTTCATCGTGATGAAGAACTGAATTCCTTCTCTAAAAGGAAATAACAAAGCTCATTTAAACTTGCTGGTTACTGACATACCATGCTTATATACATAAACTACCAGCAAGGTTGGCACCTTGTTGGAATTCTAGCAGGTCCCGTTTAAACATGTTCTAGACACCTTTGTCCTGTTAAAACATCCAAATGGGTCATTTTAATCCACCATCAGATCCAAGCTTTCCACTTCTATTTCTTATGGAAGGACCCAGATTGAAATCCTCCTGCAAGCTGGACTGAAATCTGCAGCCACCCACTGGAGCAAGCTGAATAGACAATGTTGAGCTGTTTGGTCACAATAAGAAGAACAATGTTTGAAGAGCTCCAGGTGAAGCTTAAACCTGAGAACAAAGTATCAACAGTGCAGCATGGAGGTGGTATGGCCAGGATCAGGGATTGATGCGGCACTGGTTCTACAACCTCCTTCAAGAGTGAAGTGACAAGGAAGCTTTAAAGCAAAAAAAAAACTCCCGTCACTTTGTCTGTTCTTTGACCAAAATATCCATATCTATGGTTAGAAAAAAATTATTCATCCTCCTCATAGATTTAGGTTTCAGATGATCTGTTAATGTGACCAACATCTTTCTTCTGACTGGAAGTTTTGGAGAAGTCAACCCAAAGCACTTCTATAGAGGGAGCTAAATATAAGGGTAATAATACAGAGGCCTTTCAACCTCAGTGCAAATCATCAGAAATAAAAAACAATCATCAGAGAAAAGCTGCTCAGATTTTGGTTAAAAAAAAAGTTTGTTTGCGTTTATTTACAGAAGAAATTTTTATTAGGAAGAGTATGAACAGCTTTTAACATTAATGCTTCCCTTAAAACTACCGATAATAGATGAATGACTGTTTTTCCTGCAATCAAAAGCTACCTCCTGTATCATATTCAATAAAAATTTATTCTGAGTGAAAATACCTTCATATCTGATCTGCAGTGGGATGCATGTATGTGTGCTTTCTCAGACTACCTCCTCTTTCCCAGGACATCCCCTCCCAGTTTGGAGCGCAGCAGTCACAGCAGTTTATCACCAACCACATTAAAAACAAGCTCCTCGCCTTTCACACGCAAACACACACTTTTCCCGCTCCTCCATCTCCGTTCTCACTGGCAGGAGGAAATCCCTTACTTTTACTTTTTAGCCTGTGTTGCTGCGCACAAAAGCATAGATATAACCTCATATTTTAACTATGGGGTTCAAATTCTCCTTCAAAGTCCACTTAAACAAGCTCACTGAAGAAAAGTTAACAGTCATTTAAAGAAACTTGTTTCCCTCCTCGGTGTAGTTTGTGACGGGAGTGTATTTTTATCTACCGCTCTGGTTAAAATGGAGTGAGGAGGGAAGCAGCATGCAGCCAACAGTGATTATAGTTATTAAAGTCCTTGCATACACACACTCACAGACACACATCCACACACACACAAAGAGATTTGAGGCGTTTGAGGAGAAAGAGTGAGAGCCTATGAAGTCAATTAGGACAGCAGAGAGCAGATAAGCAGCTACTTTCTGCTGAGTGCAGCCATTTAAATGATCAGTGCATGAAATTTACTTTCTGAATCACAGACCAAAGGACAAGTGGAGGAAGAAAAAATCACCAGCAAAACAATTTCATTTCATTGTTGGTCATTAAGAGACCAAAGTAAGATGTCCGACTCAAAGCAAAGGCTTTCTGGATACAGGAAGTCGTTATCTCATAATTTCTCTAAAGATATTTTCCCTTACATGCACTTAAACATCAAAGATACAGATAAAGTTAAGGGGTTAGTAACTCTTTGATCTGCAGACATTTCTTCTTCTTTTCATGTCTCACTAGGCTTATGTTTCTCTGGTTGAACAGTATAAGAAGGCTCTGAGGAGAACAGTAGTCTCGAAGGGAGACAATCATCTATAAAATGACAACAAGCACAGATGATCCATATCTTTATAATCAGAAATGTCTGTTAAAGTCTATTTTCTCTGATTATTTGACTGCAATTTCAAAGAAAAAAAAGTATTCTTTTTTCTTAATGCTGTGGACCTATACTGTAACCTTCCACTACTTCATATTAAGAGCCTTCATTTCTGCCAACCATTGTGCAGAAGATCATCATACACACTTAATGTCTCTATGCTTGTGGCTGTTATGGTTTCCCTTAATTACTCTATTACTTTACCTTATAAACAGCAATATTTGCATTCGCTGCAGACCTGGAAGCCTTTATTAGGACGGGAAACTTTATTTTATAGAGACTTGTTTTCCCTATAGGCACATACAGGCCCATTAGATAAATATAGCACCAGCTTAATTGCTACAGCATGGTAGGTTCTGGTTAACAGAGGCTCCTGAACTTGACCCACCAACACAAAGAAGCAGGAATAAAGCATAACGGTAAATAGATGGGTCTAAAAAAAATTTTTTTTTGTGTGTGTGTGTTATAAAGTCCGCTGAACCAGTTGCAGATCGTCTGGATTTGTTTTGATCTATGTTTGATTTACATCTATTGCTTTATCAGTTTGGGTGGAGAACATCAACAAACATCAAGCCTTGAAAGGCGCCAAAGCCTGATGCTGCCACCGCCATGTTTTACCTTGGTGATAGTGTGTTTAAGAGTAGATGGTTCGTTTTGGACAACTATGCCTCGTATAGGATTCCTGTGTCCTACACTCTTTCTCCAACATGTTTGTTCTGCTATCATGCACCTTTTGGGGGCTTCTCTGATCAGTGTTCTCCTCGTCCAGCCTGTTGGTATAGGTGCACACGTCTTGGTAGATCAGCAAGTGGTTTTCCATGTTCTGATGATTGATGGAGCTTTGTTCTAGAACCCAACCCTGCTTTAAGCTGAACCAGAACTTCCTCCATGGCCTGTCTGCTGGGTTCCTTGTTTCTCGTGATGTTTTCTAATGTTCGCTAACAAACTTGTGAGGTTTATTAACATTTAATATGTCATTATTTTGTGGAAGTAACATGACAAAAAAATTTGTAAAATATGAGTGTGAGTATTTTTGGAGCTGGTTCTTAACCGAATCAATTCCTTTGAAATTCATTTTTAGTAAATGCAAACGAGGAGGACAAAAGGAACATGCTACGGACTTCTTCATGGGCTCATAATGCATCACTGTGCCTCTGCTTCCATATTTCCAAGCAGCCTATTAAATGAGCCTGAAGAGATTGTTTGATTTAAAAGCTTAAAGATGAAAGCCATGTTTCTAATTGTGAAGCTTTTAGATGCTGAATGACAGAATTATGATAATTGTTTCCTTATGGCTGAAGGTCAACTTTTCTCATTTTGATTCAAAGCAGTTCTAAGAATACATTTCCATGGTAAGATTTTACTCTGATTATTTTGCTTTTTGTGATCAAATTGGACGTTAAGTTAGTTTTAAGTTCTTTGTAAACTTAAATACATTTTCTACAAAATATCAACAAAATACTGATTTACATTCTTTTTTAGATGGAAAACAACAGAACTACATATGAATTCCCTGTGATGTTGTATGTTTTTTATATTGTTAAAGGAAAAGGTACAAACTTACAGAATCCTGAGGTTCTTCAGTCCAGAGAAGTCCACTTTAGTGATTCTGGTGATGTTGTTTCGGTTTAAATCCCTGCAGAGAGAAACAGTAATGTTAAACATCAGCTTGGAGCTTCAGGTTGGGCATCAGTATCCTGCTGTAGACGGGAACTCCACTCCAAGTATTTTTCATGCGGAGGTTATTAATCTTCATCAGTGTAGACTGATCGTCTGCATAGATTAGCATGAGATCAAAAATCAAATATACATATGGGCTAATACGTATGTACAGCTATACAATGACTCAGAGTTATGACACCAACGCTTTTTAATCATGTCAATAAAAATCTGTGGCAGCTTGTTTCCACTGAAGCAGATCTTTTTTGTTCACTAAATATGAAAGCACTTGTGTGTTTATCTTTATTTCTTTGCCTTTTTAGTCTGATCCATGAATGTGGCAGTGGGACAGAGCGTGAGAACGGCCTGCACAGCATCTGAGGCCACACACAATGCACAGAAGCATGCAAACTTGCTAACAAAAACAAGAGACAAGCCTAAAACACACAAACACTCCGACTGAACTGATTCCACCACACCAATTATTTTCTCTTTCCATCAACACGGCTTTAAAATCTCATCACGTTTCCTGGATGACATTTAATCTGTTTTCACTATGGGTGTGTATGATGTAAACACACTGCAGTAAGAAGTGAGACCCCATGATGTGTTGGTGCATCATGGCTGCCTTTAAGAGAGTCTGCTGTTCATTGAGAGGCTAAAGGAATTAGAGCGAGCACACACACACACACACAGTCAGGTTCCACTAAGGCAGCCAGTCTGTATGCTTTTCATAAAACACCAAAACATTTATAAATCTGATTTAAGACCATATAAGATTTCAAAAAGAATCCCAACACCAGCATGGCTACCTCTGCTAATAGGAGCCATACTGCAGCCTGAGACGGAGAGGCCTTACAGAACAGACCAGTACCTACTTAGGACCAAACACATGTCCCTGGCCCACCAGGGTCTCCTTAAGGGGCCTCCAAGGTAATGAATACTTTCAAATCTTATCTGATACACTGGAGGACTGCATAAGGGACCCACTGATTAATAGTTCCCACACTGCACTAAGAGAGAATCTGATTGAAATCTGAAGATTCCTGATAAGAAAAGAAGTAAATACTAATAAAAAAAATCCCCTGAACACTTTCCTAAATGATACAGCTTTCAGCGTCTCTGCAGAAGTAATAATAAATCATCACCAAATCATCGGTTCTACTCTTCACTCGAGTTGCTTTCATCAACCCTGTTTCAAAACACACAAAATGCTGTGTCTGTAAAAGCAAAAGAGTAACACACATATCAGAAAACCAAAACCTATTCATCAGACTAGTAGGTTTCTTATCAAGGTTGGTAAGAAAGGTTGCAAACATAGAAAGAAATGTTTCATGTCTGCTGTTGTCAAACATTACTGCAGACAAGCACAGCAAGACCAGGAGGAGGGGATACAGTTTTAGTTTTCACCCACTTAAGGTTTTCATAGAGGTGTATAAACTTCTGGGTTGATGTTTGCTGCAGCACCAATTAAGGCATTTTGTTGCACTTGATTACGGCATATTAGCGGGTATCAGAATAAATGGGGATGAAAAGATACAGTATGCACAACTAGAATAAAAAAATTATTTATGTCTCCATTTCAATCATGCACTACTGTGTGTTGTCCATCGTATACTGATGATTAAGAAGCATGCAGAGGCATAATTTAAAGAGCAGCTGAAAGGAAGAACATGAAGAGAAAAATGTTTATCACTGAAGCCTGAATGATGATGGATTCAGAGGGAGCTGTACCACCTTTCTGATCTGGGTCCTTCAGAAGGTGCTGCACCATCACCAGCTTCTGTGTTTTTACTTTGACAGAGAAGCTGAGGCAATAAATCAGATTTTCCTGATGAATCATTCTGTGCTTTCAGAAGGCGCTGCCTCCATGATGAACTCTGTCTTTGTGTCCATCTGTAATTGGAGGTGTCCTCCGTCTCTGACAGCATTCAAAGGCTCCTCATCACCTCCATCCATCCTCTCTTCCTCACTCAGGCCCTCTGTCTTTCTGTACTTTCTCCTGCGTTTGGTGGCAATCTGTCAGTTTTTAGGCTGTTTTCTGTCGCCTGTTCTCCATCTCTCCACGCTCGTTGCTCTCTGATGTCGCTCCATCGGTCCTTCACAGCCGGCTTCACCTCATCTCAGGCTTCATCTCCACTTTTTCTATTTCTCTCTAATCTCTCCCTTTTTAGTAAATCTCTCCTCTCACATTCTCTGTTGCCTTATCATTCACAGGTTCACAGTTGACCAAACAATTTCTTTATGCCTTCATATGTTTCTCTCTCGCTCTATAATCTCTCGTCTTTTATCTCCATGTTCCACTTTTTTGTTACAGTTGGCTTCATGTTCCCTGCCCACTCCAAGGCTAATCTCTCCATCCTTATCTTCATCTGTCTCTCACGTTCTCAGTGGAAACACTTGTTCTCACCAGGGAGACGGCTAAGCAGTCAAACAAACAGCAGGGATGCGGTTCCAGGTACAGCATATAGAAATCTATCCGATCTAACATCAGAACATAAGAGGAGTTTGGAGCTATAGCGAGAGGGAGAGGGAGTTAGGGTTTAGAATGTGCATATCTGAGCTGATGCAGATCATAAAGTGATAGTGCTAAAGAATGACTTGGTATATTTGTCTCAAACTAGAGAAAACTAGTTCTAGTTCAGTTTAAACAGCAGAGTTCCTGCTGTTGTTTTTGCAGATAGATTCTGGGCTGCACTAAAAAGTGTGGGCTTAAATATTCTTATTACTATTGTTTAATTAGAAAAAATCTTTGGAGCAGGAAAACAGAACCTTGTCGTTCGTATTGTGTGTGATTAAACGTCTCTTCTGATAAACAGATGGATCTAAACAGGCTGAGTATTTCACTAACAAAGTGCCTACAGTGTGAAGATTTTCTTTTTTATTTGCACCTGGACTTTTAAAGACTGGGCGTCCATCCCACCCAACACCAAAGCTCAACATCTAATTGAACTGACCACCTGCAAGCGAGGCAGCAGACAGTGGGCTGTGGTACAAAAGGCCTAACCACTGTTTGTTTCCACTGCAGTCAGAGATAAGCTGGGCATGTGTGTATCTGCAGGAGGGAGACAAGAAAGCAGGAATGCAAACATCAGGTGTCATAACACCTGATGTTTGCATTCTGGTTGTTAAATCAGAATGCAAGATTTAACAATGCATTCTGATTGTTAAATTTGTCCTGAGGTTTCAGGACAGATTTAACGATCTGTCCTGAAACCAGTAAACCCTCTTTCTCAGGCAGCCGTCCTTTTTGTCTTAACGCTCTGTTTACTGGTCTGACCCACAATAAGGAGAAGCAGGTGGACATGTAAGAGAAATGATAGATCAGATTAGTCCGAACGTACAAAGCTGTAGTAACAACTGGTTTAAACCATGAATGAAGACGTTTGACCTGGTCGGTCACCGTGGGTCTCCTGTGGGCTTTATTTTTCACCTTCACCTCAGATTTTACTTGGACTTGTTTCTGTTTGTATGACCTTTCTCCGTCTTTTTGTGGCGGGCCCCACATCAGCAGCAGTTTCCTCTCACTGCTTTATCTTTCCAACTCTGTGACATTTCCTCTTTCCACTTTTTCAATCACCCTATTGGACTCTGGGTCCATATCTTGGTCTACCCCATTTCTTTATCTTCCTGTCATCCTTTGTAGTTCTCCATCCAACGCCTGGTTTCCAAATGCATTCACTTCCTCTCCTAATCTCTTGTTATTTTCCACAAAGCTCTTGTAAAGCTTTGCTTTCCCACTCCTCCTTTCCCGCTCTCCATCTGTCCTACTGGTTCATAGGTATGCCGAAATCTGGCATTCTAAACCTCCCAGTTTCGTAAGGAATCCTAATTGCCCTCTTCCTTTTCCTCTGAGCTCCAAACTGAGTTTCTATCCCCAGACACAAGCCCTGGTTTGCTTTCAAACTGGATTCATAATGGCAAGAATCCATCCACAGGCTGTCATTCTACCTGAAACCTGAAGGAAGGCACACTTTATGGCAGGAAGTGGCAGAGAGCATAGATAAGAAACAGATCAAGTTCTAGAACAACTTTCACCTCATCATGCATTCTATTGATGATAGAGTTTGAAAACTGGCTCAACTAGGATCTAGCCTGATACATTTCCGTTGATATGAAATGTCACATTCAAACCGGACATTAGGGACAGACAGCCAGCTTAGACAACCAATCCCAAATCAACATCTAAGAACATTTTACACAATTAGATTAATTTAGGTGGAATCACACACCAGATCTTTACCCTTTCTGAATTTCTGAGAGGTTCATGCAGGTTTGGTTGATCTGCTAAAAATTTACGGATTTGAAGAAGGCAAAAACACTTTTGTAGGGACTATAATGGTTCCATTTATGGTATATTTATCCAAAGAAAGAGTTGGAAACCTCCCTTCGGAAGAATTCCAGGCACATACAATGTAGGTGACACACAGAACCTAATGAAGGGACTTATCATCTGGTTTGTTAACACAGAAAGCATTTAAGAGTGAGGAATATATTTCCTTATTTGACTGAAGGATGGTTTTTGATGCTGGAGGGAGACCAGACCAACTGGAGAAGTTTGAAAGTCTGCAGATTTACTTTTGCTGCAGTCTGTAGTTTCAGGGAATGCAGTCTGCAATTTCAGGGAAGAGTAAGCTGCTGAAAAGCTAAGAACAAATCTCAGCGCTGTTCGACAAAAGCATTTAGGAACAAAAGAGATTAAAGAAAACGAGAGGCTGAAGGAGAAAGTGAAGGAAAGAGGGGAAAACCTGCATATGGAGGAATCTATATTTCCACTGTTAGCTTAGGTGACAGATGGACTGAAAAAGGAAAATTACAAGTCAGACTGTCATGCTCCATGCACCACCGCATGCCCACAAGTAAACACATGCAAACATGCATGCATGCAGGTGTAGAGAAAACGAACATAGCGAGAAAAAAAAGAGCCCCAGCAGCCAGAATATAATGTGTTGCTTTGGTGACTGTGACCAAACAAAA